CCCTAGGAGACAAACAACTCCAGGAACCTCCCGGTGAAGGCGGGAGAGACAAGCTATAACAACCAGGCTGATTGCAGAGTGTCTTATTGATAGAAAATTCTTGTTTCCAAAAATGATGAGAAACCTAGCTTTTTGGATAACGGAGGGAAAGCCAGGCCTTAGAGTCCTGAAAATTCTACCCTTTCTCGCACAGGAAACTCCGTGCCTCTGAGCCTTTGCACAGGCTGTTCCTTCTGTTAGGAATGTTCTTCCACCCAGAATGCTGGTGGATGCCATTCACCCTCCAGCTCAGGCGTCCTCTCTTCTGTGCGGCCCTTCCCTGTGCTGCTCGCCCAAACGGGCAGACCACCCCCTCGTTCTCAGCCCCCACAGGACCGTGTTTGTTCCCTGCGTGAAGTGGCTCTTTTCAGGGGTAGGTGACAATGGAAACCAGACTCAGGCAAGTGTTAGCAAATGGGCGATTTATTGACTTTTGTAACTGGATCTAGAGGCTCAAGGATGTAGTTTTCTCCCCCTACCCTCACGTGTCTGACTCTTTTTTCTCTTCCTCTCCTTCTCCTCCCTCTCTCCTCCCTCTTCTCTCCCTCTCTCTCCCTTCCCTCTCCCTCCTCTGATGGTGTAATTGCTGCATTATAAGGCAATCAGTCCAGAAGTGCTCGGCGTCTTTGAGCCTGGCCATGACTTGCATACCCCTCCTTTCCTCTCCGCACGCCAAGGTCCTCAGCAAAGCCTTGTTGGGTGAATGAATGGGTAGATGGAATTCAGGGACTCAGAATTTCCCGGAAGACCAATGCAAAATTGTGTGGTGAGCATGTGCACGCCTCTATTGTGCGTCTGTCCTGTCTGTCCATTACTGTCACAGTGTTGGGCACGGAGCCCTCCTTTTGCCATTCGTCCACCACTAAAGACTTGCCAAGGGGCGCCTGGGTGGCTTCGTCGATTAAGCGTCCGACTTTCGCTCAGGTCATGATCTCGCGGTTTGTGGGTTCGAGCCCCGCGTCGGGCTCTGTGCTGACTGCCAGCTCAGAGCCTGGAGCCTGTTTCAGTCTGTGACTCCCTCTCTCTCTGACCCTCCCCTGCTTACGCTGTCTCTCTCTCTCTCTCCTAGAAATAAATAAAACATTAAAAAAAAAAAAAAGACTTGCCGAGCACCCGCTCATTGTGCTGGTTTGGGGAGTTTGAAGTTTGGGGAGACATGAAGAAGACACAGCTCCCTGATCTCAGAAGTTCAGGGTCTAGAGGAGCAAACGGCCACATAAGCGGAGGGTAACAGTACAGCCTCATAACTGCGGCGGTACGAGCTAGCACAGGGTCTGCTGGACACGGGGCCCCTGCTCCACCCTGCAGCCAGGCAGGCTTTCCCGAGAGGGGCTGTGCACGGGTGGATGTGAGAGGTAGGGAGTGTGCCAACATGGCCAAGTGCTCCGTGCAACTTGTAAAGCCATAATCCATGCGGTTCAGGCTCGCAGCCGGGCTGCATTCAAGGAGAGATTCCCAAGTTCAAATTGTTAAGTTCTGCAAAGGAAACAGGTAATCTTCTAAAATTCCCCTTGACGCTCCTTTCCACTCTCCTTCATTCCCTGGTGCCCTCCCCTCTTCCACAGCCACGAGCATAGTCTCTTCCTCCTCGGACCATTCGCTCCTGCACCAGCCTCTCGGGTCCAATGTGCGTCTACTTTCTGGCTCCATTACAAAAGCCAGGGCAAGGCTCTTTGGAGAGCAGCCCAGGGCAAGGAGCTACCTGGGAAGCATCAGTGGGAGAAGGAGGCTCTGAGCCACTCGAATGTGAACTCCTGTGGCCTCCTCCCCCTTACCTTCTGAACTATTTTAATTTTAAACCTGTTTTGAAGATGAGGAGACGAGTCTCAGAGAGGTCAAGTAACTTGCCCAAGATCCCACAGCTGCAAATGCCTGTTCTTCCTGCTCGTTCTTACCTTCTGTCTTCCCTTTGTCCACCTAACTGCGACTTCAACCCAAATATCTCATCTAAGTCACGCCCCACTACTGCACCTTTCCTTCATAGGACTTGTCACAGTTGCAGTTGTACCTTTATTTGGATAATTCTTGTGTTAAAGTCTATCTCCAACACTAGACTATCACCTTGTAGAGGGGAGAGTTGATATGTTTTTTTATACTCCCTTGTATTGCCCGTGAACAAAACAGCCTCTAAGACATAATAGGTGCTCAATAAATATTTGCCAAATAAAAGTAGCATAGAGGCTTGGTTTGCGAGTAACTTGTTCAGCAAGTATTGCACAAGACCAGCAGACATTTCTTTTTTTTTCTTTGCTTTTTCTGTCATAGTTTATTGTCAAGTTGGTTTCCCAGTGCTCGTCCCCACAAGTGCCCTCCTCCATGCCCATCACCCCCCTTCCCCTCTCCCCCGCCCCATCAGCCCTCAGTTTCTTCTCAGTATTCAAGAGCCTCTCATGGTTTGCCTCCTTCCCTCTCCCCAACTACTTTTCCCCTTCTTCTCCCCCACGGTCCTCTGATAAGTTTCTCCTGATCCACCTATAAGTGGAAACTTATGGTATCTGTCCTTCTCTGCCTGACTTATTTCGCTCAGCATAACACCCTCAAGGTCCATCCATGTTGCTACACGTGGCCAGATTTCATTCTTTCTCATTGCCATGTAGTATTCCATCGTATAGATAAACCACATCTTCTTGATCCATTCGTCAGTTGATGGACATTTAGACTCTTTCCATGATTTGGCTATTGTTGACAGTGCTGCTATGAACATTGGGGTACATGGGCCCCTATGCATCAGCACTCCTGTATCCCTTGGGTAAATTCCTAGCAGTGCTATGACTAGCAAACATTTCCAGTACATTTTAACTTGATAAATGAGAGGTGTCTTGCCATACAAGTAGTACGTGGCACCGAACGTCATGTGATCATGAGCCAGTGGTTCCTGAAATTCGCTTTGATATACAAGTGCTTTGGATTACAAGCATGTTCCCAGGACAAATTGTGCTCGCAAGCCAGGGTTCACTGCATAAGGAATTGAACTTCAGACCTGTCTCCAAAACCCACGTTCTCTTCTGACATCATTAAGTCGGTGTTCTCCAGAAAGACAAGGTGGATTGGAGGCCATTCCAGGCGGAGACATTTCCATCAGACCCACTAGGGAAATTATGATTCATGTTCTATTTGTCTGCTTGTTTGTGTTTTGTCGTGGTGGCGGCAGCTCGAATCCAGGCTGTAGGTGGAGGAGGTGTGCAGGAGAAGATTCAGGAGCAAGGGCAAGAAGATTCAAAGACTTCACAGACCAGGGCTATCCAAGGATCAGGGATTGCAAGGGTGATACTGAGCGTTCTCCACCTGGGGAGTGACAGGATCAGAGTTACATCTGAGAAAGGTCACTATGCCTGCCATTGAGAGGAGGGTGGACAGAGGATCGGGGCAGAGCCTGTGTCCCCGTCAAGAAGTTGGAGAAGACACGGTCCTGGACGGGGCATTGGGGGAGAGAGGAGCGGACCAGCTCCTGGGAGATGGATGGATGGTCTTTCTACCTCCAGTAGCAGAAAGCACTGCGGGCAGAGATGTGAGAGAGGAGAGGCTGCATACGGCTGCAGGCGTCGGTCCAGCACGCAGATGGTGGCGGGGTGAGTGGGGCAGGTGGGGGGTCTGAGTGCAGAGAGCAATTAAGGAGGGGACGAGGCAGTCCACACCCTGCTTCCAGACCGCAGTGCGGGGTCAGGATGGAAAGTGTGCAGCACGCGGCTGCCTCATCAGAGTCTCCCGGTTGCCTCTAGCTGGAGTTTCGCACAGGCAGAGACTGGGACCTTCAGAAGCGGAACTTGTCTGCTGGAGGGGAGAGGGGTTAAGAGCCAGGAACCTGTTCTCTGCCATGCTTCCTGCCATTCTTTTCAAAACTTTGGGCTTTGGGCCACCGATTCAAGTCTCAGTTTCCACTTCTGTCAAGCACCGAGATATTAATGCGTCTTTCTCAAGGTTCTAAAAGAGAAAGCCTTAAAGTGGCCAGCAGGGAGGGGACTCCCAACTGCCCGGAGGCTCCCTTCCTCTTCCCTGTCTTCTGGGTTCATCCAAAATTCGTCCCCAGAGGAAAAATCGCTTAAAGATTGGGGGTGATGGTGGGGGAAAAAGACTCTCCCTCGGGTTACTTCCAATTTCAGGACTGACGGGGGGGGGGGGTGGGGGTGAGGGAGGGGGGTCAGGAGAAGTGGCTCCCAGGAGACAAACTCCTGCACTCTTTTCCCAGATGGCGGGTTTCACTGAACCTTAACACAAGAATCATTAGCCCATTTTGCGGATGAGGAAACCAAGGCCCAGTGAAGCTAAGTAGAAGGCTCAAGGTCACACAGCCAGAAATGAAGTCCCGAAGGTGTCTCAGGTCCGTGAAATCCGAAGCGGCCGTCTACCTTACAAACTCTCTTTCCCAGCCTAGAAGTCAGTGATTGTCCCCATCCCTAACCCGCCTCCGAGCTCCCCAAGTGGCCGAGGCCAGGACACCAGGGCCGGGCCGGGGACCTCTCTGGGTCTTCCCGGGGCGCGCTCTCCCTGGCACTGGGGGGGCGGGGGGACGGCCTGGCCTTGGAGCGCCGCTCAGCCCTGCGGGTTTGCCCCCAGACTCGGGCGGCGGCGGAGCGCGGAGAGGGAGCGCGCGGTGGCACAGGTGGGGCGGCCGCGCGGGAGCCTGGGGAGCGCGGAGGCGCGGGGGCGCGGGCCCCCGCCCCCTCGGTGCCGGCTGGCTCTGCGCTTCTCCGGCTGCGAACCAGACACAGCCGCGGCCGCCGCCGACCGGCGCGCACCGGCCGACCTGCTCCGGCGCCGCGCTGGAGGGGCGCAACGCGGCCACCGACCCGGAGGCGCTCGAGGAGGGGTCTTCGCGCACTCTGGGCACCCGCGCAGCGCACGGTGAGCGCCCTCCCCGGGGCTCGGGGGGTCCTTAGCCCCCGGGTGCCCGATGGGGTTACCCGGGGGGCGCAAGGCTGAAGTTGGGACGCGCGCAGCCCGCCCCCGCCGCCGAGCCCGACATGCTGCCGCCGGGGGGCAACGGCACCGCGTCCCGGGCGCGGTTCAGGCAGCAGCAGCTGGGGGGCTCCGTGGGGGGCTCGGAGGGCGCGGCGCCCCTGGGGCCGGCGCAGGTGGTCACCGCGGGCCTCCTGACCCTGCTCATCGTCTGGACCCTGCTGGGCAACGTGCTGGTGTGCGCGGCCATCGTGCGCAGCCGCCACCTGCGCGCCAAGATGACCAACGTCTTCATCGTGTCTCTGGCTGTGTCCGACCTCTTCGTGGCGCTGCTGGTCATGCCCTGGAAGGCGGTCGCCGAGGTGGCCGGTTACTGGCCCTTTGGGGCCTTCTGCGACATCTGGGTGGCCTTTGACATCACGTGCTCCACCGCGTCCATCCTGAACCTGTGCATCATCAGCGTGGACCGCTACTGGGCCATCTCCAGGCCCTTCCGCTACGAGCGCAAGATGACCCAGCGCGTGGCCCTGGTCATGGTCGGCCTGGCCTGGACCTTGTCCATCCTCATCTCCTTCATCCCGGTTCAACTCCACTGGCACAGGGACAAGGCAGGCCCCTGGGAACCGCCATCCCGCCTGGCCAACGGGACGCCCTGGGAGGAGGCAGGGGAGCCCGAGGCAAGCGGGGAGAACTGTGACTCCAGCCTGAACCGAACTTACGCCATCTCCTCTTCGCTCATCAGCTTCTACATCCCCGTGGCCATCATGATCGGCACCTACACGCGCATCTACCGCATCGCCCAGGTCCAGATCCGCCGCATCTCCTCGCTGGAGAGGGCGGCGGAGCACGCGCAGAGCTGCCGCGGCCTTGCGGCCTGCGCGCCCGACCCCACCCTGCCCGCGTCCATCAAGAAGGAGACCAAGGTCCTCAAGACGCTGTCGGTGATCATGGGGGTCTTCGTGTGCTGCTGGCTGCCCTTCTTCATCCTTAACTGCATGGTCCCCTTCTGCGAGGGGCCCGGGGCCGGCTTCCCCTGCGTCAGCGAGACTACCTTCGACGTCTTCGTCTGGTTCGGCTGGGCCAACTCCTCCCTCAACCCGGTCATCTACGCCTTCAACGCTGACTTCCGGAAGGTGTTTGCGCAGCTGCTGGGGTGCAGTCGTCTCTGCCCGCGCACCCCGGTGGAGACGGTGAACATCAGCAATGAGCTCGTCTCCTACAATCAGGACGCCGTCTTCCACAAGGAGATGGCAGCCGCCTGCATCCATGTGATCCCCAACGCCGTGTCCCCGGGGGCCGGGGAGGTGGACGAGGAGGAGAGCCCTTTCGATCGAATGTCCCAGATCTCTCAGACGGCCCCAGACGGCGACCCTGCTGCTGAATCCGCCTGGGAGCTGGACTGCGAGGGAGAGGTTTCTTTGGGCAAAATAACGCCTTTCACCCCAAACGGGTTCTATTAGAGCGCCCAAGGAAGGCCCCTTGTGGATCGATATAATTGCCCAGACATTAACAAGCATGCAGAACACACACTCACAAACACAGTTGCAGTGTCGCTTTCTCTGCGTCTGTGTAGTAGCCCACGTGCTTAGAAGCGTCACCAGACTGATTTGTTGCTGGAAGAATTGGCAGAAGGTTTGGAATAAGCTCAGATGTGCTCCAGCCTGGCAGAAATGGACGGGTGGTCCAGTTGGAGAAGGCGGTGTCCGGTTCTTTAAAAAGAAAAAAAAAAAGTGGTAGTTGATCTTTAAAAAATATACTCGCCCTCCGCCCTCCCCCCTTTACAGAAATGAATTGTTCAGTGAATTTCTGTTCGGTTGATTGCTGGACAACAGGTCCCGTGTGCGTGTGGTGCTGATGGGGATGCGTGTGGCTTTCCTGTATCTTGCTTCCGGTCGTCCGTGTTTATGCGGTTTCTGCCCTCCGCGTGTGTCTTTACGACAGCTGGGGAACTCTTTCTGATTTGTTCTGGTGTCTAATAAACACAAATTATGTGGATTATGGGGTGATTCTCTCTGCTTTGCCAGACTGGTGTTGAGGATAGCTCCTCGAGAAGCCACCAGAGCACCTTTACAAGCAGGGAAGGTTTGGGCTTGGTCTGGAAGCACACATTTATTTTCTTTGCAGACAGGTCGGCCTTAAAGGTACACACAGGAGCAAGGGCCTTGAAGAACTTCCAATTCCTCAGTTGTTCCTTCCTTCCTTCCTTCCTTCCTTCCTTCCTTCCTTCCTTCCTTCCTTCCTTCCTTCCTTCCTTCTCTTTTTTCTTTCTTTCTCTTCTTCCCTCTCTCTCTTTCGTTCTTTCTTTCTCTCTTTCTTTCTTTCTTTTTTAGATACACACATTTCACGTCTGTGCTGAAAGCTGATTTTAGTGCCACTGGCACCAGATAGGGAGTCTTTCAGCCTAAAACTCTATTTGTTTTCTCATTTGGAATCTTCTTTTTAAAAACAGCATAAGAGGATTCTCCCAGTTCCTAGGCAGACGCTAGCATATCAGTTCACTGTAAACATCACACAGAATAATAGCTTAATCTTTCTCAATCTCAAATCTACGGTGTTTCAGAGTTATGTGGCTTATGACCAACATTTCTGGAAGGCTTTGAAATGTGTGAGTGGACACGCTTTATAAAACAAACCTCTTCTTTTAATCAGCGTTTTCCTTTGTAGACAGTAGGAAATGAGGGCAAGCATTTTCACAAAAACGTAGGAACCAGGAATGATATTTGAATCAACTCAAAATGGGAAGCTCGGTTTGTTGAGCCACTCCACAACAAGAAAGAGCCCAATGAATTCCAGTCTTTTTATTCCTCTCTGCAGCCTGAACAGAAAAGGGGAGCATTTTATTCCAGAAGCATTCCAGGTGAGAGCCTGTTACTACCCCTAGATCTAAATGTGAGCACTGTTAATGGAAGCGGATGAAATCTGAATATGTAATTTCTTACAAGCCCCTACTTTGAAGCAGGATTATCAAGGACAGTTCATCAATTTTGGTCTCTTTGGGGATAATTTGATTAGTCTACTGAATAACCACGTCTTGTTCACTGCAAAAGGTGTAGTGCTTGGCACGTAACGCTTCATAAGTATTTGTTGGATGAACATTTCTGGAATGGTGAGATTGACGCCACATCCTGTTTGGTACCTTAATTTTCATATGTGATTGAGTCAAACTGCGATCAGAATCTGCACGCTGTGTTCAGTTTTTGACCTCGTGTGAACTGATGGCTATGTGGACCGTTAGGGAAACACTGGGGACCATGGGAAGCGCCCTGCTCTAGGATTCGGAAGATGGCTGTGTGACCTTGAGCGAAGCAAGTAACCTCTCTGGGCTGTACTTTCTGTCTACATCTGTAAGTCGAAACACGTATGCTGGCCACAGGTTTCCAAATTGTTCTCCAGGATACAGATGTTATGGATGCGGTCCTGGGTGAACTAAGGTCAGAAAACCCAGCTACGGTATCTGTTTTCTCTCCAGGGCTTCTTAGAGCTTTTCTGTGTAGTGTGTATCCCCAAGCAGGGGAGAATTCGGCGTTGCTTCCTGACGTCCCTGACCTTGTGAGTCCTCCTCTGGCTTCACTCCTTATTCCCCTCTCTCTGGAGACCACAGTTGTGGGGAACACAGCTTGAGAAACCCTAATTGATCTGGAAGTCTCTAAAGGGTAGCTAATCTATTCGAAAGGACCGGTTGTTACAGTAAGTTGTGTGTGTGTGTGTGTGTGTGTGGCAAACATTCTAAGCTCCAGTTCAAACCATTTCTGTGTTAGGAAAAATGGGTCATAGGAGGACTTTGAAAGTCCCTTCTGCAAAGTATTTCTAATCGTTTCTTGTAATTATTTCCACCTACTATGTGCCGGGCGCTGTTCTGGCTGTCTAGTCACCAATCAAACACTCTGGTGTCTTGAACTTGTATTTCAGTGGGAGGGAGGCAGGCGAGCGAACGCTCCGGTACCGTAGCGCAGTATGTGCTATGTTGCCTGGACGCTGATAATAGTTGATGTGAACCCAGTCGCACAGGGAGCGGAGCCGGGGAAGCTGCTGTCATATTTCAGGTGGTGCCTCTCAGAAAAGGCGCGGTGAAGGGGCGCCTGGGGGGCTCAGGCGGTTGAGTGTCACGCTCTTGATGTCGGCTCAGGTCATGATCCTAGGGTCATGGAATCGAGACCCACATTGAGCTCCGCACGGAGCATGGAGCCTGCTTGGGATTCTCCCTCCCTCTGCTCCCCTCCCTGATTCACCCTCACTCTCTCTAAAAAAAAAAAAAAAAAAGGAGAGGCCCAATGCAGAGAGACCCAGACGAAGAAGAAGGGTCGGGGCGAGGCTAGGATCTAGGCAGAAGAGTGCTCCAGGCAGAGGGAATGGCAGTGTGAATGTCTGGAAATGGGACCACGCTTGGCAGCCAGGAGAAGAGAAAGGAAGTCAGTGCGACTGAAGCCCTGTGAGTGGTTCCCACCAAGAACAGAGTAGGCAGCAGCAGCAAGCATTACAGGGGTGAGTTCTGCGCTGGGTACCACGCACGTGCCAGTTCATGCTCGCAGCCCTGTGAGGCAGGACCTTCATCACCCCCATTTTACAGACGGGGAAAGGAAGGCATGTGGAAGCTAAATAATGAGCCCAGAGTCACATAGCTCATGAGTGGCTGCGGTGGACTTGACCTAGGACTTGACCGAGTCTGGCCATGGAGTCTCATGCTCACTGTCCTGCGGTGCTGAGAAGGCTGCCAGGGTGTCCCCAGTCAGCAGACGCACGAGTGTCGGGATTGGGGTACTCTTCGTCCATTTGTTATTAGCCGGGTACCGGACACTCTCCTATATCCACATGCAAGCCAGCTCCGCTGTGCACCTGCTCTGAACACTGCTTCGTGTTTGGAGGGCAGGCGGCAGAGGCCAGTGCAAAAAAGAGCCATGTCCTGAGCCCTTACGTGAATGGCCAAGCGTGTTCCCGATTCTATTTGATCCTCACGTTAACCTCACATACTGATTTTTGTCCATTTTTACAGGTGAGGACACTCAGGCACAGAGAGGTGAAGTTGCTTACCCAAGGTCACACGACCACTAAGTGGTGGAATAAGTGTTTACACTCAGGCCAGTGATTCTCGGCTGGGGAGACTCTGTTCCCCAGGGGACGTTTGGCCGTGTCTGGAGACACTTCTGGGTGCACAACCCGGTGTGGGGTGCTCTTGCTTTCTGGTGGTTCAAGGTCACGGCTCAGCATCTTAAAGTGCACGCACAGCCTCCACCACAACAGTTATCTGGCCCTGAGAGGCCCTGACCCAGGCTGGCAGCCTCCAGGGCCCGCAGTGTACCTACGGAGACACACTGCCCAGGCTCGAAGCTCCACAGAACTGTGTTCAAACTGTAGTTCCTACATTTATTGTCTGAATTTGGGCACCTCTCGTAGCTTCAGTTTCTTTATCTGAGGAATGGGTACATTTGCCCCAGAGGTTTGGGTTGGGATTAAATGAGAGTGTAGGATACCAAGGTTGTTTTTGTTTCCTTCTTTTTCCTCTTCTTTCTCCGTGTTCAGAGAACCCCATGGCTTGATACATTTTGAGTGGATTTGGAGGTTCCCAGCACGGGTAGAGCTACGTGGTCCCCGAGAGCTGAGATCCGTTCTGCCTGGCCCTCACTGTCTTCTTGGCCTAGAATAGTGTCTGGTATGGAGTAGGTGCTCAATACATGTCTGTCTCCACCTCAGATATGCGCAGGCACAGACACACGCACATACCAGTCAGTGCTACCCCTAAGTAACCAGGTGTTTATGCAGCAAGTCCCGGGGTGGTATCACCCATTGCAGGGCGCTGGCCCTCACATCTGGGGCTGATCAAAGGCGTGCAGGGCTGAAATAACACGTCCCCCCAGGAGGTCATCATTGTACAGCACACCCCTGGATGCGGCAAGCATGTCCTTAAAGTGTGTGCCCCACTGTCCCCACCCTCTCCCGGCTCTGCGTGGTGATGCGACTGATCTGTCGTCAGATTTGGGTCTGTCTGGTGAGTCCTTCGTGTGGATGCTGACGTACACTCTGGGCAGGAATGCCGTGGAAGCAACGCTGCGTTCCCCCCGATGCATCGCAGCGGGGGCACAGGCTGAGATCCCCGTTACTGGGAATGTCAGCTTGGATCCGTCCCTCAGGCAGTGCGCACGACTAAGTTACTAAGGTTACTTGGTACTTGATACGAAGATACTTGATACCTGTCTTTCGGAGAGATACTTTGAGACCACAAGACACGGCAGTGTCCTTCCTCAAACTTTCACCCCTTGCTTTTGGCATCTAGTAATGATCCTTCCCCGATTCAGTTATTATTGTGCTTGTCAGATGGTGTGTTTAAAAAAAATATATCCCATCGTTGGCACACCTGGGCGGCTCAGTCGGTTAAGTGTCCGACTCTTGGTTTTGGCTCAAGTCATGATCTCAGTTTCGTGAATTCGAGCCCCAAGTTGGGCTCTGTGCTGACGGCCCAGAGCCT